CCTAAGAACAACATAGCTTCAAAAGATCTGGCATGAGTTTGAAACTAGAGACACAACATTGGGATACCTTGAAATTTAGTCATTCAAAAGCCATATGAGTGACACCAAGTGAACTCTAAGACAGTTCTGCTGCTTTTGGTTTAGTGATCTCCATTCTGACCTAGTTGTGATGACTTCAGCCTTTGAATGGTACATTGTATATTCTTTCATGTTATTAAATGTTAAAACATTGGAGACTGTATACCTTCAAAAAGTTTCCACTTATAAGAGTTTTTATATGACACATCAAAATATTTTTTGTCATTAAAACTTTTATCAGACTTCCCAAAATTATTAAAGACAGGTTATTTCCTCTTTTGCAGCACTGCATTCCTTGTGTTTAATCATAGGGGCGAGGGAGGCAACAACATTAATTGAGTTGAAACTAAATGATAAAATTCTAAGAATTAATTTGTTGATTTGTTATGTACAAATTAAAACTAGCATTCTATGCAGGCACAATGTGATACGAAACCATTGTCTGAGTGTATGCATGAATACACATTGACTACACTTCTGAATGTGTAGTTTAACGCCTTTATGAAAGAACTACGAGTGATAAGCACTTTGGAAAATACATGGTGAATATTTTATGTTTCAGCAGGTCTCTATCCCTAGAGCCGTGGACGGCAAACAGCGGCTCGCGAGCCACATGCGGCTCTTTGGCCCCTTGAGTGTGGCTCTTCCTAAGCCTTAGGAGCACCCTAATTAAGTTAATAACAAGGTACCTACCTATATAGTTTAAGTTCAAAAAATTTGGCTCTCAAAAGAAATTTCAGTCGTTGTACTGCTGATATTTGGCTCTGTTGACTAATGAGTTTACCGACCACTGATCTAGACGAGTCTCAACTGGGCTGACTGGGCACTTCAAGTCTCTGCCACGTATCTGTTCCATGCCAGTAGGCTACCTCAGGAAGGTCCTCATGGAGACACAAGGAAGAGCAAGGCCTCTCAAGTTGTAGACTTAGAAGCACCATACTTGCACTTCTGCTTCATTCTATTACCCAAAGCCAGGCACATGGGCAAGCCCAGAGACAGAGGCTGAGGACACTTCAAAGTTACGTGCCCAAAAGGGTGGATGCAGAGAGGGTGAAAGATCATTCAACCCATCAGCAAGATCTATCAATTCTACCTTAGAAATACTTTCCACACCTGTCCAATACTCCTTCTATCTTATTGCTACCACCACTTCAGTTCACCATGATCTCTCTTACCTATCACCACCTGACTGCTCTGTCCAAATCTTTCTTGTCCATTCCTTCTCAGACCATTCTCAATGCAGCAACGAGAATAAACCATTTGCCAAATGGTTTCCTATTGTTCTTAGGATAAAGGTGAAAATCCTGACTAAGGCCTGAATTGTTTTCAATTGAGGAGTTATTTTAAAGCAAATAGGTGAACCTGGTGAAAGGGAGAAAGAGAGTGAAGAGGGAGTGTGGGAAAGAGAGGCTTTGTAATGACTTCCATGTGAGGACAGCCTGGGACCCCTTTCTCCAACCTCATCTCCTTCCATCCTTTCTGTCACTTTATGGTTGGAACACATCACAATTCCCCAGTCTGTACACTATTTCTAGCCTCTGAGGTCTTACTTGGACTGCTCTGTGTCCAAGTAGAGTTCTTTATTCCTCCTTTTGGTATGGCTTGAAAACCCTCTGCCTTATGCCCTAAAAAAAAAAAAGGAGAGGAGAAGAGCGCAGATTGGTTTGGCTCAGGGGATAGAGCAGGGGTGGGCAAACTTTTTGACTCGAGGGCCACAATGGGTTCTTAAACTGGACCGGAGGGCCAGAACAAAAGCATGGATGGAGTGTTTGTGTGAACTAATATAAATTCAAAGTAAACATCATTACATAAAAGGGTAAGGCCTTTTTTTTTTTTTAGTTTTATTCATTTCAAACGCCCCGGGCCGTAGATAGAGCGTTGGCCTGTGGATTGAAGGGCCTGAGGTTCGATGAGAGAGAGAGAGAGAGAGAGAGAGAGAGAGAGAGAGAGAGAGAGAGTTTTTTTTGAACAGGAGGAGGGAGAGAGTTTATATAGTTTAAGTTTAAAAAATTTGGCTCTCAAAAGAAATTTCAATCGTTGTACTGTTGATAATTGTCTCTGTTGACTAATGAGTTTGCTGACCACTGCCCTAGAGGGGAAACCTAAAGTGTTCCTTTTATAACATTATAAAAGAAATCTACTAAGGAGGGTAAAAAAGAACAAACATTTTTGCAAACAAGTTTCATTCTTCCTGAAAAGATTTTAAAATCATATATTCCTGACCTGGGATTTAGTGGTCGTATACTAAACTCAGAAAGGAAAATACATTCAATTTATCTGTCAGAACTGCTTGGAATAAAGGCAGGCACCCTCTAAAAAGGCATATTACATAGAACCGTGGTCGGCAAACCGCAGCTCGCAAGCCACATGCGGGCGCACACGTACAGTGCAATTGAAACTTCATGGCCCATGCACAGAAGTCGGCATTTTGTGGAAGAGCCGGTATTTTGTGGAAGAGCCACACTCAAGGGGCCAAAGAGCCGCATGTGGCTCACGAGCCGCAGTTTGTCGAACCGCAGTTTGCCGACCGCTGAATAGAGTGAAAACGTTAGGTATAGTTTATAAAAAAAGTCAATACTATCAACATCTCATTGTTACTTTTCACCACTTCCTCAAAGCATGTAGTTTAATTTTTTAATGTGAGGTGGAAATACTGTTTTTTCTAAACTACTTATAACAACTTCATATCTTGTCTATGAAGGGAAGCTAATTAAGTCAATAGGGTTCTTGTAATGTCTACATTTTTTTCCTAATTGGTGAGAACATGCTGCCCTGTAGATTTATTTGCCAAGACAAAAGCAAAATATATTTTAAAGATTGGATTTATAATCTTGGAAGACAAACATAAAATTTAAACCAACATGAATGTATAAAATTTGAGAAAATTTTTATAAAGTGAGATTAAAAAGGAATTTTTGTTCATACTTCAAAGCAACATAGCTATCTGTTTTATAAAGAAAAACCAGAGGCAGTAGATGGTGTAAAATGTTCTATAATACTGGTTGAAATTAGCAATTTAAATTTGTTGAATGAGGTTATAGTGCAATATCTAATGCACAAATCACAGAGATTTGAGTACTTGCATAGTTGTTTAAAAATGTATTAAAAGGCTATAGGTTAACAATAATAAATGTATATTACATTATTATTATTAAAATATGCAATCTTTGATAATAATTTATTTGTTTTATAAATGCATTGGGGATTAAAATTTTTCTATTCATCTGTGACTAACCATGAAATTCAATATTGCTCACCATGACCAATCCATGAAATTTGTCAACTTTGTTCCTGATTTTCACAGGGCCTTCCCCTTAGATGAAATGACCCATTTAACTAAGAACACAACAATTTTTTCATATGGTAAATCAGTTTAGTTTACTATGGATTTCAGACCTTGAGTTTATATGATTATGAACCATTATATATTTAATCCCAAATGTCTAATAGTTTATCTCACTGTTTCTCCCCCTTTCTGAAGGAATTCTCTATTTCTAAAATTAATTTTCAATGCCAGAAAAAACAATTTATAAACAATGGGTTAGTTGAAAGTCAAACAGCAGGTGAAAATTATGGGAAATTGAAATCCAAGTTATTTACTCAGAAATTCTAACCAAAAAAAAACAACAACAAAAAAAAACCCTCAAAATTTTCTGAAAACCACGATTCATATATTGCCCTTATTGGAGTGCTAAGAAAGGAATATTTTACCTAGTTTATCCTAAAAATCAGAAATACTGTATGTCTAATTTTTTACTATCCAAGAAATAAAATATGAAATTATCTAGTTTTTCAAGGTAAAGTGACTATGTTGGAAAAGGGTTTAAACAAAATTATATTACTATATTAGAAAATCTACCCCAAACTTTTCTCTATTACAAATTTGAATAAAATAAACCAGAAAAGTAGTTCAGAAATTTTAATTTCCCTAAATATTACTTATTTAGCTAAGTAAACTACATCAACATTATTAAAAAGTAATTGCTTAGTCCTATTTCCACTTGCCATTACTAGCTCAGACACTAGAGCCTAATATTAAAAGTGAAAATCTATGGTAGATTAACTGACAGTGTGGAGCTATGAAGTCTCTTCCAGATTTGGGCATATTTTAGAACAAATTTTTAATGTTAAATTTTTATTAGAGCAAATCAATCTATATAAAATTAAAAGCTAAAAATATTTTTTAAAAAGCCATTAGATATAATTTTATTTTTTCATAGAGTTTCAAGCTATGACTGAAATAACCAACTCATTAATATAATTTGATCATTTAAATAACTCAAAGAGTAAAGCTTAAAATGGTCCTGACTGTATTGGAGCCTTATCAACTGAATGAAATTTAACAATAGAGACATAACACAGTATTCAGACTAACTTGCTTTGAGGATGAAGAAACCCCTGTTGGTTAGTGTTAGTTTTGTACAACAGCCCAATTCACAATATAAAAAGAATACTTCAAAAAATTTCTACTTACGACTTACACAATTCAGTAAGTAGAATGAAAATAACTGTTAAATCCCATTATTTTCTATATTGTAATAGCTAAAAAGAAAATATATTTGATACTTACTGATATAAGTCAGTTAATGGTGAAGTCAAAATGACTAATGTTGTCAACAGATTATTACAATGGGTATAAATTTTAAAAATTTTATCATCTATATATTCATGAGGATTCAAAAGTTTCTGTACAGATGTGCAAACTGACCATAACATGTTCTCAGTGCATATTAAAATTGTTGTGACATCAAGTCTATTAGAAAGAAAAAGAAAAAAATTACGTTAAAAAAAAGTGCCTTTCTACTTGGTATATATACTATCTTTTATATTTCTTGTATTAAATATATATAAGAATATAAATATTTGTTCAGATATCAGAGCTTTGGAGATCAAAGACAGAAGGCATCAAAACTAGGTTATGAGTTTCCATAATACCATTATATTTAGGGATTGTGAGGTCTATAACAGAGAAGAGTTTTAGGGGTGCTTTTAAAAAATATGTTTTTATTTTGTATTATCAGGATTCTATTCAAGAAGTTCAGGAAACTTTCATTGAAATTACATTCAGTAAAAGAAAACCCAGATTAAAAGAAAATTTGCTACTATATATATAAATATTACTTATTTGCTACTATTTTTCTCTTTTATTAGTATATATATATATATTATACCATTTTACAAATTTAAGGTGTACAGCATGTTGATTTTCTATACTTCCATATTACAAAATGATTACTACTATAGCATATGCTGACATCTGCATCACATCACCTAATTTTCATTTCTTTTCGGTGATGAGAATATTAAGATCTACTCTCTTCGCAA